CTTCTTGTTCGAAATGAACCTACTAGCCTAATAGCACACAAATGACTGTTGATGGGGATCCAGTTGAATAGTAGAGCATCGGCTCTTACGCTTAGTGCGACCCCGGTTGCGGATGCCACAGAGTCCCAGGATAAGCGCACATGAAACATACTTTTGGAACCGGCAGATGGGGTACTAATTCGAAGCATATCGCTAAGATCTTGTATGCGGGTCTCTGAGATGCAACTACGTCAATAGCGAAGCTTTCCAGAGTCCTAGACAAACTTCTAATCTACATGAAGGTGGTGAGCTTTAACTGTATGCGTGTTTTCAAGATAGCTGTGTCAGTTGTCGGACTGAAAGACAGCTTTTTGGGGGCAACTGTTTAGCGACTCAAAACGGTACACGTCGACCAGAAGTCTAAGTAATGGAGGGCAGTTGAGTAAAGTGGACTAGGTCGAAGGCGAAAGTGGTAATAATAAGAAAGTACAGTTCGTATGTAAAAGCAACAGAAACAATATGATACGAACAAATTCAGCAATCGGCTAGAAAGTTCGTATTGTGGAGAGCTTGATTACTCTCTGAAAAGTTGGTTAGTTGCTTCTAAATCTTCCTTTTATACTGTAAATTCATATTTTGTGTAAGGACTGAAGTGGTTGTCTTAGGGCGCCACTCTCCGGGCTTTAGTCTTAAAGTCTATTACACAAGGCAGTGGAGCAAAGTCAGGAGCCGCATTCCCATAGTGGCCGGTAACCTAAATAGGTTCATATGCCATTCTTTCCATCTGGAACTTGGAGCTCATATGAACCCTCAGTATTCATCAATCTGGTGATAAGCGCTGGATATTCGTTTTCGCCCTTTCACTTTTGTGGAAACATCCCTAACACGTGAAGGTAGTGTATAGGACTTCCCTGGGAAAGACTATAAATGCATACCAGGATATTTGGTCGGCTCTAGGTGACATTGCCCGAACTCGATCTCAATTGAGCGGGTGTTTCCACACATTATTGGCATCTTAGTCGTCCAACCTAATTTCGATATTTGCTCATCCTCCTTCTGGTTCTTTTGATGACTTTCTCCCATCTCTAAATGCTTTCTTGTTGATTTCTTTATCTTTCATCCCAGTTCATTCCCTCTTAATTTGTTGTTATGGGATATGGCAACATGGACCGTTACACAGTAATGCCAGCCTCTTTGTTGATTTTGTCTGTCTGTATAACTGCCACTGATCTTATTTTCCTTAGAATTTCTTATGAGTTTGTCAATCAGTTTAGGTGGATGATTAGTGAAATGTAAGGTGATCCAAATGTGTTTCTTTTCTTTTCTCAGATTCTATGTCATACTGGTAAGATTTTTTGTCCTGTTGCTTTGACATTTAGCCAATCCTACCTTAACTGATATTGGGTAAGATAATGAGTAGTGGTCCCAGTATGAAGGTTTCCTGAAGACAGTGGTCTTTAAACTTGGCCGTTGGTCTGTGTCGTGTGGGAGGTGTAGACTACCTGACTGTGGTTCCCGAGGCGATAGAAATCGGTGATCGTGGACTCTTGGTTTCATGGTTAAAAATCGATCACAATAGCGCTAATTTATTCACTATTTGACATCTAAGAGTTGAATATTTTGACTAACTTTTATTTTAAATTTCCTCTCCTTCTATACACATTTTTCTACTTTTATATCAGTCTTTCCTCTCCACTTGTTCTTTTTGTTACTTTGAGTTGTAGCGACTTGAATCGATGCACTTGTGTGCGAGGTTTTACGTTGATTCGATCTTTCTGTTTATTTATCCGAAGTCTTTATTTCCCATCTCGGTCAATGTCACCATCCACTGACTTCAATAACTGATGACATGATTTAGTTAGGTTACAGCTTAATGCTTTTCATCTGAAAACTATTTCAGCGAACATTGCATACCAATGCAGCGAAGATTGGGAATGTTTGACACGTCTCATCCACCTGAGGTGATGAAAGTTAACAACCTCCAACTGACTATCCATGTCCTCCTGAGATGTTTGTACAGCTGTGGCTCATTTATCGGTCCAGATAGATTATTTTTCAACCAGTGGGTTACAGATTCGAACCCTCCCCCACTCATCACTAAGCTTCAAGCAGTAGGTGTGGCTCATTGCCTACTGCATAAAAGTGCAGGTGGTTGTCGAGTGCATCTCTTCTTTTATACCCTGAAACTACGCATTTGGCCACAATGTGTGTATACCAGTTTACTTGCTCATGTGGAGCTTAGTACATCGGCCGTACAATGTGTCCGTTTACAAAACGTGCTTGTGAACACTACCCAGACTGGCTAGCAAAAGGAGAACTGAAGTGCATCTTCAGCTCAAAAACAGAAGACCTTGTGAACTTGGGCCACTCAGTTCTTTTTGAGAATTCATTCAAACCACTCAAAGGGTGTGGGATCAAGGCATTTGGGTATAGCTGATGCACTAACCATTCTTAAGTTTAAACCAGAGCTACATATTTCAAAAAAAGCACGTTCGACTATTTTGTTGGTGAGTACACAAAGAGGGTTTGACGTTTCGCACAGCTAATGTTTCGATGAAACTTAGTGTACGGTCTTGATAGCTCCTATGTAGTGATCTAAAGGGTGTTTCGGAGTCGATTCTACGACTTGTTTCTATAATATGTTTACTTATAGATGGTGACGTCTGTCAACCCTCTATATTTATCAGATTGAGTTTAATTGTTTTTATAGCCCTTTAGGGATATGCTCCGCGACCCTCGGGGTGATAGTGCGATTACTATTCTTAATGTATGTGTCACCACACGCATACGTAATTTGGAATACACAACGGGACGTGACGTAATTGTCTGTGTAATGATAAGGTTTATTTTGAAACATGGGTTTCATTTCGTCTATTATATTGAGCTTGGTTGTATAGTATATATTTTTAATGACTGAAATAAGCATTCTCCTTAAGATAATGCTCTTGGATTCCCTCTCATACTTTAACGTGGTGAAGACGTCCTTCGGGGGATAGAGTGTGCTGATTAGTTCTCACTGTTGAGACATTTTTATAACGATTAATGAGCTTCACTGGATTTGTGTTTTCCGTGAATATGTCTGTTATGGATGTGACCTCTTCCAACGTATCTGTTGTGCAGATACTGTAAGCCCTTCTTAATAAGCATTTTATCGGACCCCATTTGTACTTAGCTGAACAAAGAATATGAAGGTTTATATACTATCTGGTCAACATCAGTTTTCTGCAAACTGATTTTTTCTATCATCCCATCTTCCATTCTGATTAATAATATGCCAAAAAAAGGAAGCTGTTTAGTATTTTGAACTTCACACGATAAACTGATGTAGCTTTTTATGGTGTGAAGTCCATCTAGGAGACTTCACATCCTCACATTTTTGACATAAACCCAAAATATCATTAGTGTATCTCCTGTGCAGAGGGACTTTGTTGATTCAATCCTCAGCCATGTTACATATAGACACCAGTTAACAATGATCCTAAAGGACTACCAGGAGCGATGCCACCAACTTATCGAAAATGTTCACCTTCGAAAGTGAAGTAAACCTTATTGGTGCACCCTATTTTCACGGTTCATATAAAAATGCCTTGACAAGTGAGTGCGACCAGATTGTTAGAGATGTATTGCGCAAATGCATCACATTTCTCAGATAACCTCAGTCTTCTTTTGGCGTTGTGCTGATTCAAATATATGTGGATGACGAGGACTATTCATCGAGTGCGTGGAAATATCTTGTTTTCACTTCTTTCTTCCTGTTTATACTTTGTCTTTACTGTCGCTTGTCAGTTAATAATTTTCCCTCTTATTTGCTCGACTTGCTTCTCCGTAACCATTGTTGATGGTTTGATTTTATAGAATAACACAATAGGACGTTCTACGCCTAATGGGAATTATTGAACAGCGGTTGTGTTCTATGAATCTTAGCACTTCAGCCACAGATGAATATGTTTTTCCTTTTCACGTATTCAAGATCAAAGCGTTGTTATTTACGTTAAAGATTAATCATTCGATGAAGTGGAAGACTTGCTTTTCTGTGCTAGCTCCTCCCGCTCACCGAGATCTGGTTTTGTAGGTGATGTCACAACCCTCTAGTGGTAGGTGTTGCTTATTAGCTACTATGTAAAAAGCAAGAATTTCGGTACTATGCCCTATGTCACCTCGAAGCTTACAGGTAGAAGACCATAGTTACCAGCTACATTGTTTAAGACAGATTGGTATAATCAGTTCTTACCTTTATATAGATTTTGGTGACCAGCAGACGAATCCAAGACGCGTGTTTCGTTCTATTCGGGACTCGTTAGCTGGATGGGGCTACACTTCAGAAAGTGGTGTTCTCATTGGGACTCGGACCCAGTACCCATCGCTTCAAACACCAAAGCATTATCTACTGGGTCACGATAGCCATCTTTTGTGCAACGGGTATCAGTTGTTGTTTTACTGACACTTAGTATTTCCTGTTGCTATACAAGGTCGAATGGCTCCATCTCTGTTGGCACCAGAGCTGCCTATCGTGCCCTAGTGGCATAATGGGTAGTGCTTTGGCGTTTGATGCGATGGGTACTGGTTTCGAGTCTCAGTGGGAACAACATCACTCACTAGGGTGCAGCTACACCCTGTTGACGATTTCAGATAGGAAGAAGCGTGCATCTTCGGTTCCTCTGCTGGTCACCAAGGTCAATATAACATCATGAATATCCGCCAGTATCCAGACTTCTGCATAGAAGCCCATCTGCCAACAGCAGAGGTTGGGCGATTCGGCCCTGTATAGCACTGGGAAATTACGAGTATCATAGCAACAGCTTCTGCTTTTTTGAAAAGTTATTTGTGTTAATTTTATAGTTGCAGTAGAAGCAACCAGTACTCCAAATGCAATTGTGACTAGACACCTATCGTTTTATTGGTTTGTTCTTCAGCCTAATTTCCACTCTCAAAAGATCAACCCTAGGTAGTTTTTAAAGTATATTTCTTGATCACTTATTCGTGCATTTGATTCGTTTTTCATTTTTGAAACAAATTTTCAGTTTTGTCAATGCACTCTGCCAAATGATGTTCACAGTCAGTGTTTTATGTCTGGAACTGGAAATTATTCCCATCCCGTAACGGAAAGATATTTACGTCGTACTGTGGATGAACAACTAAGAGATCTCAGTCTTGAAGGTGAACACAACCGGACACGGATTGATCGTGATCCTCAAAACAGTAACTTTGACAGAAACTCAATTTCTATTCTACACCGACGTGGTAGATTTGATTCACGTAGAGCTCAGGATTCTGTAACACTATCGTCAAGTGAGCTACCTCAAAATTCTAATGAATTCCCAACTGCAGGCGGTTTAGCGGAGGCGGAAAGCAGTGACAACTTTCTTGTGGATGAAGAAGAGGCTGAGGCTACAGTCGCCACTGAGGAAGAACTTGATGGCACTGAATAAGCATTTTTCCAGTGAGAAAATTGTGAGCAGGTTGTGTATACTGCAACTACTTTTTGTTTCTCAACCATTTCAAGTGTTACTAGCTGTTTAAAAGCCCATACCTAGTAATCATTTTATCAAAATTTCAATACACGTAAATTGGCTTATTATTACTTCCTTATGATTATTATCTCAAATAATACACTTTCAAACGAATGGTTCGGTTGGAAGTGGACGTTTAAGTTATTATGCTCGCTGACTCTACTCTAGATGTTATGTGCATTGACTTGAAGGCTATACTCAATTCTGTTAGTGGAGAAGTTTCATGGATTCATGTTACTATCAAGTGAATGTCGGACTGGGTTATCTGCTGTTTTTTGGAAACAGTATCCAAGTGCTGTCTTGGCTGTGTGTATATCCACTTCCATCATTCTCATTCACGTTGTTGTAAACACCTTGAATGAAAGGCTGGTAATGTTAAGCGTGTATGCATGTACTTATCAAATGTAGGTTGAAAACCGCTAGAATTAACTCTCACTCATTATTATTATTATTATTATTATTATTATTATTATTATTATTCCCCTAGGTTCCTAGTGGAACATAGAGCTTCAGTAGCACGCTGTCATTTCACTCTCTTCTCTCCAGTCTTTTCAGCCTGGCTCCACCACTCCCAACAAGCTATCATTTCTTCCTCACACGATCTCCTTCGTGTCACCCTCGCTTCGGACGCTCATCTCGTCGTTTCCCTTTCGGATTCCACTCGATGGATTGACTGACCTGGTGCATGATGTCCCCAAACGGTCTTATCAGTGTATGTCCAATCCAATCGAATCCATCTCCACTTCTTTCTGCATATTTGTTAGGCGATAAGTTCTTGGTTGGTTTGTTGCTAGCCAGCCAGCCAGCCAGCCAGCCACACTTCCTTGTTGCCTATTCTTAATATTCTGGCAATCCATCTGATCTTCAGTGTCAGTATCGAGAACACCTAGGCAGCTGTTGATGCATGTTTATGGTTTGTTGGAAATGCTTTCGTAAGGCACCAAGTCTCTGAACCATATAGAAGCACTGACTTACTTGACTGAATCAGTGTCGAAAATCCGGATCTTGTTCACGCTTTATGCTGACTGGAGTGGAGTGGAGTGGAGTGGAGTGAAGTGGAGTGGAGGTAGATCTCCACACTGATTTCAGATTAATGAAGGAAGGCCTGTCTTACTCTGTTTCCAATCCTGGCTGCTTTGATGTCCTCATCTGTGGCTGTGCCACTGTAGTTGAGACGATGCTGCCTAGGTAGGTGAAAGAGACTACTTCCTTTATATTTCTCCTGTTGATGGTAATTGGTGCTGGTTGTTTGTGCTGTTGGTGGTGGTGGTGGTGGTGTTGGTTGGGTATCTTGATCACCTGTGTCTTCTCTATGTTCACCTGAAGGAAGTCCCGTATTCGCTGCCCTGCCTCTTCTGTCAACTTGTTGGTTTTTGCCTGTAGTTTGTGCGACAAGAGATTAGACATAAGTCGTCATCGGCGGCGAAATCCAAATCTTCTTCTGGAGTCTTTTCATGGGTCCAGCCAGCATATGCCCATCTTCTCGCTCGTCACAGTTTGTTGCATGATCCAGCCCAGCCCACCCCAGTCCAGTCCAGTCCAGTCGACCACAATCAGCAAGATCATCGGTGATGATAGTAGGCGGCAACCTTGTCTTACTCCTATCTTCACTTCATTTCAAAGGCATCACTGAGCTTTCCATTGTGAATCACTTGTCATGTAGCATCATATGGCATATAGCTGTTGAATGAGGTTGATGAAGGTTTGTGGCACTGAACCGTAGTGCTGAAGCAGCTATGCAAGGCCTTTTCAAAGTCGATGAAGTTGAGGTGGAGTTGAGTTGACTGCCATTGTATGCTCTGTTCTATGATGATACGTAGTGTAGCGTTTCAATTTGATCGGCGCATGATTTGTTCTTCCTAAAACCAGCCAGCCAGCCAGCCAGCCTGCCCTGGTCGTAATTTTGAATGCAGAGCATTATCGTTGTAGTCTCTCTTTGGGATGATGCGGCTTAATATTTTGCTTGCTTGAGGTGGACAGCAGCATGATTCCTTGCCAGTTCTTGCAAAGGCTTAGGTCTCCCTCTCTTGTTTGAGAGTTTGACAAGGTAGCCCTTCTTCAAATCAGTTGGCAGGTACCTTTCCTTCCTTGATTCCCTGCAAACCTTCTGCAGTGGTGGTGTGTTGTGAGTATGTCCACTGCTGTTGTCTCTGCGTCTGTTTTCAATGCTTCTGGTGGAATTCCATCTGGTGGTGTTGCTTTCCTGGCTTATGGTGTTCAGGACTTCACTTCTGCTTTTATTATCGGAGTGTCTGTGTTGACTGATAGTTCTGTGGCTGGGCTGCTGGTGGTATTTCTAGACGAGTTGCAGGTGTTGTTGTTGTTGTTGTTGTTGTTGTTGATAGTGTTGGTGTTGGTGGTCGATTCAAGAGTTTTTTTGAAGTGGTCAGCCCATCATTTCCTTTGTTGCTCCTCTTTGGTGACTAAGTTTCCTTCGCTATCTTTCATTGTTTTCATGTGAGTTGATCTCTTCCCGCCCAGATAGTAACCTGGTTATTTGATATAGTGTTGTCAGGTCTCTGTCTCTCTTACCTGCAGCCTGCAGATGCTTTAGTTGCTAGTGTGTCGCAGAAGTGTCTTTTGTCTTTGTGCTCACTCTTCTTCACTTCTTTGGCTGTTCAGTGTAGTAATTTATAGGTTGTACTCAGTTCCTCTTTTCGTTGTTCATCCCTGCAGTGCACTGGTTCATCTTCTGCTTCACCATATTCCTCTACCTCCTCTATCAGCTTCCATGTGTTCGTGGAGATACACTACTTGTCTCGTCTTGCTTCTTCTTCCTTCCTAACACACACGGTTATACAGGGATGTTGCTTAATGTCCCCCACTTTTTCCTGATGACTGACATGAAGATGTCCTTTGTACTTTCGTCCTTCAGTTCACTTTCTGTCCTAGGTGGGTGTTGAACTTGAAGTGTGGTCTATCACCAGCTTCTTTGAAGGCTTTCAACTTGATTTTGAAGGTAGATTCCTTGTACTAGATAGTGAGTGGTATGAACCACCTATATCTGCTCCTCTTCTTCATCTGATCTTGTGTCCAGTAGGCTGGCTGCGTCTCCACTTCCTTCCGATTGAGATGAAGTCGATCTGATTTTCAGTGTAGTGTGTCCTGGTGTCTGGTGAAATCAACTGCATGTCGCTCGCTGCTTTGTGAATATTCTTGTGTTTGTACACACTGCCTGCAATCACCAAGTCATTGAAGGTATAGAATTCTGCAAACAGTTCTCCATTCTCATTCATCATTTCACCGAGTGCCTCTCGACGCATGGTGGGTTCTCTTCCTGTATTGTCTGCTCTCAGTTTGACATTCATGTCACCCATTAGAGTGAATTTTGATGTCTCCATCTGGGGTGGGGTCTTGTCTAGTACTGATTGCAGTTGTCGATAGAATTCCTCCCTCTTCTCTTGATCTGCATTATTTGTATGTGCTTAGCGTAGCGTTGAATGGTTGTGACTTTCCTTCCTTTTGAGTTGAATCTTGCTGACGTGATCCTGGAGGAGATTGGTTTCCACTACATGAGGGCATTCGATGCTGTGGGGCACATCATGATAGCCACTCGGAAACTCAATGTGCTCGTGATTGTCGTCTGGGTGACGATATCGGAGTAGATTATTGACTCTCGAGTTAACAGTTTGGAGAGTCCACTTCCATTGCATCTGGTTTTGCAGATTCCTAGCACTTCTATGTCCATATCTTCTCATTTCTTTTGCAATCTGAGAAGCCTTGCCAGCTTCAAGCATTGTGTGGACATTCCATGTCCGTATGCTTACTTTTGCTTTCATCGAGAGGGGGAAGTTACATCGGCCAATTAATTGGCTTTTCCAAGGCTTTCACCAATCGGAGTCATTTTGTCTCCCTGATTCGAGTGAGGAATAAGTTAAGTTTTATATTTTGTCTGTGCTTTTAAGTTTCTTTAGGGATTGGATTGGATTGGATTGGTTTTCTGGGGTAGGGTTGATAGCCCTATGCCCAACCTTCCCTCTTTTCCGGGCTTAAGACCGGCTAGTAATCTTATAAACTAAGGAATGGTAATTTCACTAATGCATCCAATTTTATTGTAGGATATGAAGTGTACCGATATGATCAATCTAATAGAGGTGTATCGTCGGCGGATTCTAAGCTAAGATGCGTATGGTAATTGTTACTGTGAGAGCTGGACACACTACTTTGTTAGTGAATCCTTAGTCGGTCAAGCACTCATCAAATCCTCGACCTTGGTTGTAGTTTGCCTACTTCGGTCGTCTATCGTTAATATGACGGAAATACATTGAATTCATTTCGATATCCCGCCAGCTATGTTCAGGAATGTAGTACTATAAGACTCCAAAGTAACTGAGTTCATCGATCCTAAATTACTGTTGACAAATACCATGCAGTCACTTGTTTAATTTTGGTTTTATGGTGAATTGAAATAGTCATGTCAAGAAGTGCGGCTCACGAGCCGCCACCACTGCTTATCTTAGCATCTTCGAACAAATTGCTCTTCCTCCCATCCGTGTGATTCCTTTCTCGTTTTGTCCCCTACTTGTTTGCTCGTAGTCATCCAACTGTAATCTATTATGTCTCCTCTAAGTTATATTTTCTCACTGTTGTAGATTCATTATTACTCCAACTTAACATGTATACTCAATGACTTGATAGGAATTTCCATAAATCAGTGTCTTCATTGTTCAGCCAATAGTCATTCATCCAAATCATTTGTCCAAACTGGAGAAATTAATTTCAGCTCAGAAGACATTCTACTTATAAGTTACCTTGTGTGTGTGTGTGTGTGTGTGTGTGTGTGTGTGTGTGTGTGTGTGTGTATGTATGTGTTTGAAACCTCAACATCTTCCATATTTATGTAGCAGAGCATTTACTCTTTGCGTCAGTAAATTACCAGGTGAGCATCAAAATGATCATGGACTCATTAAATATAGTCT